CGCCAGCAAAACGAAGACAACCTTACAGCAAGACTAATTTCAGTCCACCATCAGTGAATAGCAAAAAAGGTACGAAATGTAAAAAACTATCGGAATTTGGTAGTATTCAATTATCTTATATCTGAATGATTAACCCATTTCAAATGTATTTCAATAAACGTGAGTAATAGGAGGAGTAAAACAAGGTTTGTCGATTACAAGGCGGAACACTTCTTTACGATTTGTTAAGAAGCTTGCTAGGCAGTGGAAACCTAATCAGCAAAGAAATCATCTTGCAAGCGGAAACAATATATGCGATCACCTTCAAACAACTGGAAAGAACACTATAACAGAACTTCAATCAATCAGAACAGGTTAATCCTACATTCTTAATCCAGATTGAGCATTGTCTACAAAATTGAGATAAACATCTCTAACATTGTGTATTTATTATGCTAACTATAAGTAACACTTATATCACAGATGAGCAAACATACCAATGCACCAGCAGTAGTGATTGTCATGACTCCGAAACCTCAGAAGATGAATCTGAAAATGAAAATGTTTCAGTAGAAGTTAGTAAAGGATTCCAGATTCTGAACATGTTAGATGAGAGTTTGACAAAAGCTTTTTCTGCTAAGACTAAAAACAAATCTAAACCAAGGTTAAGGAAGAAAGAAACAGGTACTACACTTTACAAAGATTTAAAATTCATAACAGTCACATAAAACTAATATATTCATATTCATTTTTAACTAACAAATAGACATTTGTGGTTTCAGATTATCTTGATCATGGAGATCCTACATACTCATGTTCTTATTGCGGAGCAATAATGTGGTACGGTGAGCGCATTAACCGACAAAGAAAGGAACGTAACCCAACATTCTCACAGTGTTGTTTAAAAGGAGCAGTACAATTGCCTTTCTTACATAATCAGCCAGAGCTACTGTTTGCTTTGCTAACAAATGACGATGAATTGAGTCGGCATTTCAGAGAGAATCTAAGAGCATACAACATGATATTTTCATTCACATCACTAGGTGGATGTTGTGAAAACAATGTTGTTAAAGGACATGGTCCTAACATGTTTCAGATACATGG